ATCAAGGTCACATGGCTATTAAGTGTCTGAGTCAGGATTTGAATTCAGGTCCTCCTGACTTCAGGCTTAGCACATGGCGATAGGAATTAGAAGGGACTTTAGGCAGCCACTGACCCACCTCTTATTTGCTAATGGAGGCCATGGAGGAGGTGGAAGGGAAGGAGTGCCCTGAAGGAGCAGCATTCTCTTTTTAAATAAATTTATTTTAAAAAAAACCCAACACAAATCTCTACTTTCCTGTGGCTAATACATGCCTTTTGTTCTATGCCAAGGAAGCAGATTCATTTCAGGCCATTTTGATCCGTTTCATCAGTGCTCCTGGGGCATGGCTTCTGGCCCCTCCCCATCCTGCTTGACCCCAGCTTCTCCAGAATGTGAGCCCACAACTGACCTTGGCCCTCCAGGTGTGGTCTCACCAGGGCCTGACCTGTAGCTTCATGCTGAACCTCATGCCTCTTTTTTTTCTTTTGGTTAGGCATGGGGTTAAGTGACGTGCCCAGGGTCACACAGCGAGTAAGGGTTATGTGTCTGAAGCTGGATTTAAACTCAGGTCCTCCTGAATCCAGGGCTGGTGCTCTATTCAGTGTACTGCCTAGCTGGCCCCCCCCCATACCATTCTTAAAGCAGCCTCAAATCTGCTCAGCTCTTTTTTTTTCCCCTGCCTGTTGAGGTTGCCTTGCAGGGCATGCAGTCCACTGAGACTTCCCGATCTTTGTTGGACAGGCTGCCAGCTAGCTGTGCCTTCCCATCCCATGCTTGTGAGGCTCCGTCTTCAAACTTAATTTTCTCAGATTTGGCCTGCCCATCCTGAAGGCGGCTCCCTGCAGGGCAGCGCACTTTCCTGGCTTGGTATTGTCTTTGCCCTAGGCTTGGATGAAGATGTTGACCTGCCTGGTGGTTCCCTTGGTGAAGTCTTGTTTGCCAAGGGAATGAGAAACATAAATAACTCACTTGAAACTAGACATGAGTGTTCTCTTTTGAACAATGGGGCCCGGGTCTAGAGCTGGATAGTACCTCAGAGGCCATCAGGGTCTCATTTGACAGCTGGGGAAACTGAGGCACAGAGAGGGAAGTGACATGCCCAGAGTCCTACTACGAGTCAGAGGTCTTCCTGAGCCTAAGTCCAGTGCTCTGTCTATGTTTGGACCCAGGAGGCATGTTTGCTTCGTCTTGGGTAGGCCCAAGGTTTCTTGGGCGCTCAGAAAGGGGAAGGGTTAGGAACACAATCCCTGCACGCCCGGTGGCTCTGTGCCCTGGCTGCCTCCTGTGACGCAGGCGGGCGGCCTTGAGGTGCAGGCGGAGGGCTGGGCCGGCCTTGTGTCTTACACTCATTCCAAGCAGGGGTGCCCGGGCACAGATGGAGCTCTGAGAGGGGGCGGCCTTCTGAGGAGACTGGGACTCGGCCGTTCCCCAAGGGCCCTGAAGCCAGAGCAGGGACCTCGAAGAGCAGGCTCTGCTTCTTCGGCGAGAATGGAGGGCTAGAACGGTATGAGCCACAGGAAAGTAGAGATTTGTGGTTGGTTTTTTAAAAAGAAATTTAATGTTTAACTTTTTGTGTAAACGGGTGACCTGCCAAGGTGATCTTCCAAAGTCCAGAACACTGCCACCTTCCAACGGGCCCGAAGTGGAGCCTGAAGCCGTTGGTGGCTTCCTGTCTGCCCTGGTCCCAGCACCTCTGCCATTGTGGGTCTCAGCCACCGTTGAGTAGAAGCCCGATCTTGTGAAGGGCCAGGAGCCCTGGAAATACTTAACCTCAGCAAATCCCTTCCCTGCCTGCTGGGGAGAAGTGGTGCCTGCTTCCACGCCCACTGTTCTGGAGGGCTGATCCATGAACCCTGTGTCTGCTGCACGAGGGGTGGTCAGGGAGGGAGGGCGACTTGGCCCTCACCTCTGGGTAATGCTGTCATGATGTTTGTCAATCTCATTACCGTGTCTTCTGCTCTCCTGGGCACTGAACGCCAATGAGCATTTATTAAGTGCTTACTGTGTGCCAGGCTCTGACCTGGGGATACCAAGGAAGGCAGAAACATGGTTGCTGCCCTTGAGGGGCTCCCCTTCTAACCAGAACTAACCAGAAGCAATAATACAGAAGTGATGGAATGTGCCCCTCTGATGGTCACTCCCTTGGACAGTTCAGTTCTCGAGGAAGAAAAAGAAACAGGGTGTATGGAAACCTCATTAGGAAGAGCGGGTCAGGGATGGGACTCAGCTGAAGCGCTGGGTTGAGCTGGAGCTCGGTGCTGACGGTCAGGTTGGGCTTCCCCCGGGTGACCGGGTCTGAGCACAAAGCAGAGCTCAGGTGGTGAGTGACGGCCCAGGAGGCTGGGCGCCCATCCTGGGCAGACGGCTTGAGGGTGTAATAGATCCGCTTTCTTCCTGAGGGATGACGGAGGAGCTGGGCAGGACCCTGGCCTGTGGGGGGGCAGTGAGGAGAAGCGGTTGGGGCCAGCCCTCGGGCATCACCTGTATTTCCTCTTCTTTCTCTGGGGAGGCCATTTAAATCCACACTGTACCTGGGCTGGAGTGCACCGTGCCTTGGAACCACTCGGGTTGTGGCTACGAGTGCTGAGCAAACCATTGGTGGTCAGGACTCAACTGGATGGAGCCAGTAAGGTGCTGGCAGGGACCTCGGGGATCACAGGCACAGGGTGTCTAGAGCTGGAAGGGCCCTCCACAACTGCTGAGTACAGCTGTTTGACAGATGGGAAACTGAGGCCCTGAGAGGTAAAGGGACTTGATCAGGGTCACCCTGCAAGTGAGTGCCTGAACTGGGAGTCAGGCACGGCAGTTCAGACTCATAGACCAGGTGACCTGGGATCCCCTTGGTGTGAGTGATGCAGGAACCTCTGCCCATGTCCTTCCCCAAGTTTGCTGCAGGGAGTCCACCCAGCATGCTGCCGGCCTTCCTTCTGACCTCCCAGGCCACTCCAGGCTTCCCTCACCTTTCCCTGGGGACGTGCTTGATTTCTCTGAAGTTGTTCTTTGCTTCTGGGTTTGCGGCTGCCCGCTCACATCCTCTGCCCAGCCAGTGGCCTGCAGGGCTCCCCATCAGGGTGTGCGGCAGGCAGTGGGCTCCTGCTGGCTCTGGAGAGCTGGTTGTTAAATACAGCATGTGAAGGGGAATAATGTTATACAATGAGCCTGCAGTGAGATTGTAAAGTCATTCGGTTTTTAAGTGCTGACTGGGCTAGGCACTTGGGGGTGCAAAGGCAAAAATGAGACAATCTCCCCTCTCAGGATTTCATTTGACAGGGTAGACACAATGTGGATCTATATAAATATGACCTATTTCCTGTTTAACCTGTCTACCACGTGTTAGTGCATGTTTGTTTGTTTGCTGTCTCCCCTAGATTGTAAGCTCCAGGAAGGCAGGGACTGTCTTTTGTCTCTTTGTATCCCCAAGGCTTGGCATGGTGCTTGGAACACAGTAGGTGCTTAATAAATGTGTCTCATTGCCTTATTGACTCAACAGCTCCCTGTGATTTAGGCAGCATATCATAGCCCTGTGCAGCCTTCAAGTGAGAGGGTTTGTAGACAGATGTTCTGCCCCCTCTTCCATTGCGGGGAGCCCCACCTTTATGGGAGCTGGCGGAGGGCCGTGACTGGGAGAACTCTCCCTCACTCTCCTGTGCTCTTGAAGGGTATTGGCCTGGAGTTCTGTCTGCCTACCATACTTGAGATATCGAATTCTGGGGCCATGCTTAGATTTTGGGGGTTCAGGACAGCTGCTTTCCTTGGTCATTCTGGGGGATGGTGTGATCTCAGCTCTCCTCCCACAGATACTTACCACACAAAGACAGTCAGGGATGGTGAGCAAAGCTATTTACCAAAGAAAGTGGTAAAACAGTCATTGGGGAAATCATACAGATTAGTCTGGGTCAGAGAAAGCCCTCTGTTAGCCAGATGGAATCTCAGCTCGACTGGGGAGAGACCTTGTAGCCGAAGAGGCCAGCCCTTACAAGTCTCGGGGGGGGGGCGCGTAAGTGGTGAGAATGGAGGGACACGTTGGGGTGCCCCTCCCCCATGACTCACGTCCCCTGTTGGCCGTTCAAAGCCTGGCCCTTCTATTGCTCTTCTCTGCTTCAGAAATCTCTCAGCCACTCACTCAGGAGTCACAGCCCACACACGGAGTTATTAGAAAGAGCAACATTTTGGCAACTGGTTTGATGTGTGGGGTGAGAGGGAGAAAGGACCCAAAGGGGCTGGTTATGCACCTGGAAATATGGTGGTGCCTTGGGCAGGTACGGGGAAGTCTGGAAGAGGGAGGGTTCAGGATGAAAGATATAATGAGTTCTGTAACATCTGCCTGGGGGATGTTGAGTTTGAGATGTCTTCAGGGACATTTCTCCTTGAAATGTCCAATAGGGAGTTGGTGACGTGGGACCAAGTCTCAGGATGGAGACGGGGCCGGAGAGGTTGAATTATGTGTCATCTACATCAAGGGAATTAAGCCCACGGCAGCCTGGTCATAACTGAATGTGGAGAGAGAGAGAGAGAGAGAGAGAAGGGAAGAGGAGCTTTGGGGAATGCTGGGGTGACGTGATGGGGGCCGGGAAGGAGCAGTCAGCCGGGCAGAAAGGAGGGCCGGGAGAAAAGAGTGTTACGGAAACCAGAGAGGAGAATGGATGGAGGAGGCGAGGGCGGTCAAGAGCGTCACGTGCAGCAGAGGGGTGGAGAAGGATGACCGAGGAAGGGGAAGACTGCCATGTTTGAAAATGAGGAGTTTTGGCCGAGTGACATTGGGAGCCGGCTTGACTGCAGAGTCACGGAGAGGAAGACGATGGAGCGATAACAGACAGGCTTTGTGTTTTCTCTGGAAGTTTGGCTGGGGAGACCAAAATGGAGGAGCAAGATAGTACGACAGCTCGAAGGGACACCAGGCCTCATGGAGGGTTCTGGATTTTGTTAAGGAGGAGGGAGATGGGGCCGTCTCTGAAGTTGTGTTGTATGTGTTCAGTTGTGTTTTCAGTTCATGACCCCATTTGGGGTTTTCTTGGCAGAGATGCTGGAGGCCACACAGCTAGTCAGCTTCCAAGGCCAGATTCGGACTCAGGAAGACGAGTCTTCCCGACCCCAGGCCCAGCGCTCTGTGCACTACCAAACTGCTCATCTTGAAGGCAATAGGGAAGCGGCTGAAGAGGAGACAGTGTGCAGAAGGTAGGAGAGGAGGGGCCCAAGGCCATGTGTGAGGGATTGACTTTGGGCAGAGATGGAGGGAAAGGAGGGGAAAGTGAGGCATGAGGTCAAGGGGTCGTGGGATGTGGAGGAAGAAGAGGCGGCTCCTGGCAAACGGCCTCATTTTGGGGGATAAAGTGAGAAGTGATGTCCTTGGCTGGGAGGGTGGAAAAGGGGGTGCTGTGGGGGGCTGGGGAACAGAAGAGAAGTTTGGGAAGGGCCGCTGGGGGCTCAATTAGAGGGGAATAAAGGTGGGGGAGGGAGCGGGAGAGGAGAAAGGGAACCCGGGAGTTTATGGAAATGAGCTGTTGGGGGTGGGTTGGGGGTGGAGCGGGGGAAGACCGGAGGCAGGGAGACCCGTGAGGAGGCTCACCCTGGGGTGAGGACCCTGCGGTGCAGAAGATGAGTTGGTGTGAAAGCCTTTGAGGCAGTGGTCGTTGAGGAGATGGTGTGGTCATTGATCGGCTGTGTGGTGAGGGAGAGTGAGGCTGACCTTGAGGTGATGCCTGGGGCACTAGGAGGATCAGGGACACTGATGAGGTCCAGGGGAAGGGTAAAGTCTAGTCTTGGCCAGGCCTGAATCTGAGAAGACGTCTCTCCTGAGCCTTCCTCCTGGCGGCTGACGATGGAGCGCGGGAGCTCAGGGCAGAGCCTAGAACCGGAGATGAGGCCTGGCCCTAGAGGGACGCCGAAGCCTGTGGTCGCTGATGGAGGCGCTGAGTGGCAGAGCTCAGGAGAGCAGAGGGCCCAGGAGGGCCGTCTAACCACAAAGAAGGGGCAGGGCGAAGATGATGGTCCAGTTAGCCAAGGTGTCTGAGAAGGAGTGAGCGGTCAGACAGGTAACGGGAGAACCGAGGAGGAAAAATCCAGGAGAGGATGAGGAGGGAGGCCAAGGGCGGGCGGCATCTAGGGCTAGGGTTTGGCCAACTGGACAAGGGGCGAGGAGGACAGAATCATGTTGGATTAGTTACCTGGAGGGTCCAGATTGGGACCCCTATGGCCTCACTGAGAAAGAAAGGAAAACAAATGAACGTGGTCAAACAAAACAACCCCCGAGTCAGTTTTCCCTGAGTCTGTCATCTCACCCATTTCATTGGAGAATTCAATGTCCACTGTAGCCCAGAACAGTATCTGCTTTAGGGAAAGTGAGATGCCCGCAATCGCAGGCCCGTAGCCTTCAGGGTGGGAGGGGGCTTTGGGACCACCGGGCCCAGCCCCCCGTGTATGAAGGAGGGCACGGAAGGCCAGTGTGGGGGGCTCATGGACTATGCAGAGGGCAGTAATGAGGCCTCCAAATCATCTGGGGCCAGGGGTTGAAGGGCTTGAAATAGCCCCAGAGTTTATTTTTGATCCTGGGGTAGGAGGGAACCACTGGGATCTGGTGAGTTAAGTTCCCAAACAGCTTTGCAGAGTTTATCTGGGTGGAAACCTGTCGCCTCGAGGCCACATGCGGCTCTCTAGGTCCTCGAGGGCAGTTCTGCGAAAGTCAGAGGGCATACTTGAGGACCTAGAGGGCCACGTGTGGCCTGGAGGCTGCAGGCTCCCCAGCCCTGCTCAAAGCACTATGCATTGGTATCCCTTCCATGGAATGGGGACTAGGGACATGGCACCCCAAGACCTGGAAAGTCCACAGAAAATTTCTTGGCCCTCCCTTCATACCGGAGAAGAAGTCTGAATTATTATGGTACTAAAAGGTAAAATATATTGATTTTATACAATACTACACATGGATTTTATGCTTTTCTGAACTTTTTCTGTGTCGGCTGCTGGCCTTCGAGGGTTGTCTGCGGCTTCTGCAAAACTCCCCCCAAATTCCCATTTAATTTCTAATGCCAACCCATGATATATTGAAACCTTGATGGGGAAGGCTGAGATAGCTACAAGTTCCAGCTGTTACAAAAACAGCACAACGATAATGGTAATTGCTATTATTGTTGGGGTGTCTTGAGTGGGGGGTGACATGGTCGGATCTACGTTTTAGGTAAACCCCCTTCAGTGGGTGAATGGGGGGCAGATTGGAGTGGGGAGAGGCCCAAGGCAGCCAGCCATTGCTTAGTCCAGGCCTGAGGTCTGCCCCTGGGGGGGGGGCAGCATCGCAGGAGAAAAGGGGGCGTGTTTGAGAGGTGCTGCCCAGGTGGAGTCGACAGCCCTTGACACCAACGTGGGTATGAGGGTCAGTCCAGGATGACTCTGGTTGGGAGCCCAAGGAGCGGTCTAGGAGACAGGTGGGAAGCCAGCGAATTCTGTCTGGCCTTTCTGAGTCTGAGATGCTCCCCAGGCCACAGGTAAGCCAGAGCAGAATCATCCGAAGAGGGAGAAGGCATTTACCATGGAGCAAGGGGGTCAGGAAAGTCTTGACGGTGGAATTGGTAGCTGGGGGCATTCCAGGCGTCTGGGACTGTCTGTGCAAGGGCAGGGAGGTGGGGAATGGCCATGTGCTGGACTGGAGCGCTGTGGTGTAAGGCTGGCCCAGTGGCGGATGGATGAGCCAGGTAGCAGGGGAGTGGGTGGGCCAGGCAAAGCTGTGTGTTAGGAATGGCTGCTCTGTGGAGCCAGCGGTGGAGAGGGCTGCACTGGAGGCAGGGAGGTCAGTGAGGAGGCTGCTGCGGGGGGAGAGATGAGGAAGGCTTGGTCGAGGCCTGTGTGAGCAGAGAGGGGGAAGGAAGATGCCCGAAGAGGTGGCACTGACCTTTACCAACCGATTCAGTGTGAGAGGTGGTGGGGAGGAGGAGGGAGACAAGAGAGATCGTTGTGAACTCAGAAAAATATAGTTTAAAAATTAGTCCAGCATGATGCCCACCAGGCTGGCTGGTTTGGAGGAGAGGCGGTGGGACGTCAGCTCACATGTGAGTTTGTGCTGCCTGGGCACCTCCCATGCGCCCAGTCAGTCCAGCGCTGAGATGGCCACGTCGGGAGTTGGAGAAGATCTTGGGGTGGTCTGCTTCATCCTTCTCATTTCCCAGTGGGGAAACCCATCCGGTGAGGGGCCTTGCCCGGTGATAAATGGCAGGCAAGGAGGCCAAGGCTGAGGCCCAGGGGTGCTTGGGTCTTTGGGCTCTCTCCTTCAGAACTTGCATGCAGGAACACTCAGTTGCTGGGCTCTTCCTGTGTGTTCTGAAGTTCTAGTTAGATCCCCTAGCACCTGCCCCAGTCCTCGGCACACAGGAGGTACTCGATAAACGCTTAACGAACCATTGTCATTGCTGTTGAAATGGGAGGGAAGTCGTACATTTAGGAGTGAATGAGATAGCATTTATTAAGTGCTTACTGCGTGCCAGGCACTGTGCTGAGACCCTCCAGGGATACAACCCCAAGCCAGACAGTCCCTGACTTGAGGGAGTACGCATCCTGCGAGGTTAAGGGGATGCGAGAGGAGCTAAACGGGCTTAGAGGGATGGGTCGGGCCTGTTCTCTGCCTAACTTAGACCAGAGAAGAGGACTTTTACAGTGAGCACCGTCCCGACTCCTGGGGCACCAGCAGGCTTCCAGGCCCCCGGCCTGTAAGGGCTGGGCGAAGCCTCACCTTCCTTCTCCTCCGGGTCCTCCAGCCCATCGCCCCGGCCCCCGCACTGTCTCTTCAAAGCAAGCTCGTGCTTACCCCCTATTGCTGCTTTGCAGGGAGGCCTTGGAGCAGTGGGGGTTGGAAGCAGCCCAGGATTGTGAAGAACCTTCTGAGAAGGGGAGCCAGGGGCGACAGAGCTGGGAGGAATCCCCGCCTTGTCCCTGGGCCTTGGCTCCCTGTCAGTAAAGGTCAGGGAGCTCTCCAGCCCCAGGCAGCGGCAGCAGGAATGTCCAGCGTGCTATCTTTAGGGCTGGCCAGCTCTCTCCACACTGCTGCTTTGGGCCAGATGGAAGCTGGGCCGCTGGGCCGGGGCTGGCGAAAAGCACGGCTCTTGGGACCTTGGGAGAAGGTCCTTAGCCCAGAGGCAGGTAGCAGGAAGTTGGCCATTCCTGGGGAACACGAGGTGGGGGGGAGGAGGAGGAGCAGGGGGAGGAGGCGGTGGCCGAGGGAGGAGGAGCTGAACCGGCTTGCACCATGTGTCCTTGGCACCGAAGGAATGGAAAATTTATTCCATTTCAGCCAAGTGGACTTTGAAGACATGTTGCAACTCTGGGGAGGCAGGGAGCCCAGCCCTGGGGCAATGGGCCGGGCTGGGCTGGGACGTGCTAAAGGTGTTCCTTTTAGAAGTAGTGCTCTGCCCCAGCCCCCACCAGAAAAGGGGATTTAAAATAAGTTATTGGATCAAGCAGGTATTTCACTTAGCTTCTCTCTTCCCTTGGTTTCTGCCTCTCCCATAACTTCAGAAGCTATCCCATCCGACCATATCCTCCAGAATCCCCTTTTGGCACCCCTGATATGATGGGGTTCTGGGACCTCTGCTCAGACACCCATGGTGGGGAACTTCTGTTCCGAGTTCTGAATTCTGGTGCCAGGAAGGCCGGCCGTTGTCTAGGGGCAGGCCTTAGGGCCCTAGCGGCAGCATGGGAGGGCACGTGCTTGGAACAAGGAAGACCTGGGTCCCAGTCCTGCCTCGGCCACTTACAGTCTGGGTAACCATGGACAAGTCATTCCGCCCTTCTCTTCCTCAATGTCTTCCTCCCTGAAGGAAAACCTCTATGTGCTGTCTCTGGATCAGGAGGGGAGCCCTCGAGACAGGGCCAGTCTTCCTGTTTGTCTGCTTGTACACAGTCAGTGCTTAATAAATGCTATCCATGCATTCACTCAAGAAGGGATTGGACTTTGGCCTCCAGCTTCCTCCAGCACCTTCTCCTCTCTGCTGACCCTTTTCTGGGTCTCTCCAGATGAGGCCAATGGGACGGCCTGGCCCCTCCCTCGTTTTAGATAAGACTAAGTAATGTAGCTTAGGTGCCAAGTGCTAGGGTGAAAGGTGGCATGGGCGCGCTCTCTCAGGGTAATCCCCTCTCCTGGCTGCTGAGGTTACTTGTGTGTCCCCGGCCATGGGTTTGAAGAAACCTACGAC